GAGCGAACAAAAAGACACATAAATGTAAGCTTTTCTGGGCATTAATAAAGATTTTAACGAAAAGTAATCATTTGTTTTATGTTACTTTCAATCGTGAGTTCATATTTACGGTGATGTTACTCAAAGAAATGTTTGGAAAAAATCACTAAAGTTTGCTAACGTCATATCATTACAGACTGCACGATAGTCCTACAACATATTTTCATGTCTGATCAGGGGACATTGAGGAGGGCTAGTATCCCCAATAATTATAAATCTCTAAACCCTTTTCTCAAATACTGCCAATTCGAGAGAGAGAGAAAGATGAAAGTGCATGTGTGCGCGTCTGTGTGTTTCTCTTTTTTAGAGTGAGTTTACTTCAAAAACAGCGATCTTATCCTCTCGTTGCTGGAAAATAGCGATATAGTATTTAACTGTTATTAATAAAAGTTGTGGGGCAGTGTTGACAAGTTTCTTTGCTCCTGGATGTGTGAGCTGCTCAATCTCTGGTGTGTGTGTGTGTGTGTGTGTTTGTTTGTGCATGCCTACTGGTTTAACATACACACAAAAAAAACATTGAACCATATAGCCTCTCCAGCCATGAGTTTGCCAATAGCATCACTTTTGATTTGTAGGCCTTTTTCAAACTTTGACAGTGAGTAAGCCAGGCATGGACCATTTGTCATTAATGAGTAATGACTATGTTACACATGCTGTTTGATTTAACTGAATGTGTATGCGTGTGTGAGAGAGATAGGGTGTGTGAAGTTTAAGAGAATGAGTAGTGTTTCTAAAAGTGTGTGTGTGTGTGTGTGTGTGTGTGTGTGTGTGTGTGTGTGTGTGTGTGTGTGTGTGTGTGCGTGTGTGTGTATCTGGTAATCCCTACATTATGGGGACCAAATGTCCCCCTCCCCCCCAAGGGTAGTAATACCAGTAAATTGACAGTTAATACCACAATGACTTTGTGGAGACATTTTTCCCCATGAGGAAACAAGCTTATAACTCATACATAATTCTTTTTTTTATTTTATTTTTGTATCTAAAACTGCAGAATGTTTTGAGTGAGGGTTAGGTTTGGGGTAGGGTTAGGGTAAATACAGTTGGAAAGTTATTGAGGTTATGAGGAACGTCTTCTAAGCTGTCTACTCAGCCCTGTGCAGACAAAGGAGAGTGCCGTTGTCAAGCGAGGACTGGGGGGGCCAGCAGGGCAACAGATGTCTACTGAGGCCACTGGGGAACAAAAACTGGTATTCTACTTCTCCAGCACCCAAAAGAGTCAGGCGCTGCATTTTCTTAACCGACTGGGGTCATGTGACACAAAGGGAAATCTTGTCTTTATTCTGAAATGCAGTCACCCTCCTTCTGTGATTCCTGATGTCCACTTCAAATTCACACATAAACACTTTCTGAAAATGTTTCAGCTATCCTTCATCCCCACATAACCTGAAGCACATCATACATCAACGAACCCAGTTATTAAAAAAGAGAAGGTAAAGGGCCTCCAGTTCCCCTGCAAAACTTTAAAGAGCGGCAAAGCAAGCCAAAACAGTCCTTTTTTCCAGTCTCTAAAAGATATCTGCAATGATGTCCTTCCCATTTTTCTTTTCAAAGAAAGTGTAAATCAGCACTAATACATAGCAGAATCTCTATGACAGCTGTCCTTAAGATATTCTGAGACCTGTTCCTACAAGAGCCTCCGTGTCCCACAAACCAAGCAAAGGCAAGTGAAATACTAGAGTAATAGTTACTACTAACACCTAGTGAGCAAAAAACATTAAATAAAATATTAATTCAACATGGAGGAAATATGTGCATTCAATCTGAGAAATAAATGTTGCATTAAAAAAAATGAAGAATCTGTTACATAGACGCTTAATGCACTAAACACAAGACAGCTGACAATTGACAAAATAGGGTTAAAAAAAATCACAAGACTTACCATAAGTGTAGGAAGATCCAACCCAAAAGTAGGAAAATTATGTGGAAAGTTTTTACGGTTCATTACAATATCTCTTCTCAGTTCAGCACTGGCTAATTGCCATGCTCAAAATATATATTCTCCTTGTTGCACTTCAACTCAAAACCATGAACATGAAACCAAGTGGAGACGCACAAATCCAGTGAAGCAGATGAAGGGCCCCAAAACCCAAAAAGTTTGAAGAAGTAACACCCGTAGATTGTGTTCCCTCAGAAGACAATGAGAGCTTGAGCAGATGGAGCTACAATGTCTACCATTCCACGATAGGCCAGTTGCTGTGTGTGGACCAATGAGAGCGCAGAGAGCTCACAATTGAGTGTAAATACTGACACACACTCTCACTCGCTTTCTCAGATGCACACACACAGTTGATAATCTAAGGGAGTGTGGGGATAAGCTAGTGGCTGTCCAAAAGGTCTTCCCTCACTCGGTTCATGAATAAACGAGGGGTGTGCGGTCAACAATGGAGCCACACAAAAGAGGCCTTAGCAGGCAGCTGCAGCACGAGGCCTTAATTATTAGGGAGCAGGCTGGCAGTGGAAAACACCTGGCTCGCTTAGGGACTACAGCGGCTCTCCCTTCTTTGTTTATTTGACTGGGGGGATAAGGGTCTGGTTCAGATACAAACAATGGGCTGAATTATGTTAAAAGCATTACGTGTGTCTTAAAAAAAGGGCTGGGTGAAAGGGAGGATGAGGGTGCTTGTGTGTGTGAGAGAGGGCAAAGGGTTAGATGGGTCGTTGTGTGTACGGAAGGGGGCCGGATCCAGAAATCTACACACAACAAGTCTGTAGAGGAAAAAAAAGAGGTCTTTATTGTTGTGCCACACTTCCTCAAAATGGCGTTGTAGCGAGGACAGATAAAACAAGAGGCCAAGTCTTAAGATCTAGGTTGCTGTCATTTTAGGTTATGAAAGTCTTGTGATTTCATAAAATCAATGCACAAAAACAATACCAAGTATCTTTGCCTGACTCCAAACCTGATGAACCTAACCTTTATCAATGTACACTTAACCAAACAAACTCTATCTCAGAGCAAGAGAAGTCCAACTGGCTTTTAGTCCCAGTTAACAGCTCTTCAAATATCTTAAGATCAATGTTTTAGCATAGGCCTAAACATTCACAAGCCTAAAAACAGCTAAGAGAGACTAAAAATGCAGTTTTGTGGAGTAAAACGTCACGTATGACAGCATTCTCTTAAATGCATTTGAGGGTTTTTGTTGCTGTTAGGCTACGCTAATAAAGAAACAGAAACTAGTTTTTATGCAGTTTAGATTATGTGACGCTTAGATGAAGTGTAGATAATGAAAAATAAATTTAAAAAAAAAACTAAAAGTTAATTTTCACGACTGGGGCTAAAATGAAGACCCTGAAAACATCAGATACATGTACATTTTCTATTTAGCAGGTGAATTTCACAGTGTCAAAAGTATGAGAAAGCATGTCAGAACGTCAGGCACTTTTATGAGAAAGCCACATGACAAACTGCTGTGGGACTTTAATGTGGGTCAGTGGCGGTGTCAGGTTCTGGCAGAATGCTTATGCTGTTTAATTGAGAGATTAAAGAGCTGATTATGTGCAAATATTATGAATCAAAAGTCATGCACATATTTCCATTTCAGAAAACAAGTTGTCTTGTCACTGTTATTTGTTATTTGTCTCAATACTTCAAAGACACAGAGAAAGAAAGCAAGAACATTATTTAACCAGACAGAGTGCAAAAAGAAGGAACAAAATCAATTTGACTAAATTAATATTTGTTGATAGACATCAAATTTACACAAGCAAAAAAAAACAAAAAACATTTATTTTAAATTATTTTAAAGTTCACTTTTAAACTTAATGTTCCCTCTATTTGTTTTTCTATCTTAGCAAAACCTCTCTGTTCGGCAGACAGTTCATCTACCTGAGCAAAAACATCCTTTATACAGTACCTGACCTGTACATTGTACACACAAAAGTGGTTATCATGCATTTGCAGCTTGTAATTTTAAGGTGCTGTGTCTAATTTATTTGACCTTTGACATAACTTAATAATATAACATATAATAAAAAGCAAATTGATTAAATTGATCACAAGACTTACCATAAGTGTAGAAAGATCCAACCCAAAAGTAGGAAAATTATGTGGAAAGTTTTTACGGTTCATTCAAATATCTCTTCTCAGTTCAGCACTGGCTAATTGCCATGCTCAAAATATATATTCGCCTTGTTGCACTTCAACTCAAAACCATGAAAATGAAACCAAGTGGAGACGCACAAATCCAGTGAAGCAGATGAAGGGCCCCAAAACCCAAAAAGTTTGAAGACGTAACACCCGTAGATTGTGTTCCCTAAGAAGACGATGAGAGCTTGAGCAGATGGAGCTACAAAAAAAACATTTATTTGAAATTATTTTAAAGTTCACTTTTAAACTTAATGTTCCCTCTATTTGTTTTTCTGTCTTAGCAAAACCTCTGTTTGGCAGACAGTTCATCTACCTGAGCAAAAACATCCTTTATACAGTACCTGTACATTGTACACACAATGTACAGGTCAATTTGACTAAATTAATATTTGTTGATAGACATCAAATTTACACAAGAAAAAAAAAAAAAAAAAAAAAAAATTTATTTGAAATTATTTTAAAGTTCACTTTTAAACTTATTGTTCCCTCTATTTGTTTTTCTGTCTTAGCAAAACCTCTCTGTTTGGCAGACAGTTCATCTACCTGAGCAAAAACATCCTTTATACAGTACCTGACCTGTACATTGTACACACAAAAGTGGTTATCATGCATTTGCAGCTTGTAATTTTAAGGTGCTGTGTCTAATTTATTTGACCTTTGACATAACTTAATAATATAATATATAATAAAAAGCAAATTGATTAAATTAAATGACCGTGACGACAATTGTTGTCTACAGAGAGCATAAACCCATCAAAATGAAATGTTAATCTACTGCATATTAATTTACGAGATTGTCTATATCAGGGGTGTATAATATAAAAAGAAGCAAATTCAAGCATTTAAACTTTATTCGATTAAATAATTTCAAGCTGATCGCTCTGTTCTGATCATACTCTTTCTATGAAACCCGTAAACCGCATTCACCACTTCTAACTCTACAATGACAATAGCTTTATAGCGGCTGACCTGAACACTGCAAATATTGCTTATTCACTAGAATACAACTAAATCCCACACCTTTAGCATCTGCCTTTTTTCCGCAGGGGTGCATCACATGTAGGCGCGGAGATTAGTGCTTACAGTATTGTTTGTCTTGTACGTCTGTTAAATCCACAAAAAAAAAAAATAAATCAGTAAGAAGGCTACAAACATATTTAAGAATCTATTCGGGACATTCATGTAATGAATAATTTAGTTATAAAGGCAGAATTATGACTGTCTCATGCTGAATCCGTGAGAGGTGGCAGCTCTGTATCTATTTATATCTTTTTTATTCATATTTTAATATATTATTAATATCTTAATATATTATTATATCTTATACACTGTAGTGAATTTTGCTTTCACCAACCTAGGGAGGCGAAATAGTGTGGTGATGGATACTCGCGTCACCAATGACGTTATGATATTTGGATCACATGTCCCTTAAGGTGTGGTTATGAGTACATCACATAACAAAGCTTGGTAGGATCTCTAACTTGTAGAACCTCTTTCTGTATCATCAACACAAGGAAGACACAAGTGTAATAAAATAGACTGCAATCAGCTATATAATATCGAATGTAAATGAGAAAATCATATACTGATAATATACATCAATGCCAAGGTCTCTGGAAGAGGTTTGGATAAGTGACAGTTACGTTCTCTGTGGTCGAGTGAGCAGTCCGATGGCGGTGACTTCATCCACTGGTTGTGCTGGTAACAATGCAGTGGGGAAAGGAGCAGGAATCCGTTTCGACAGCCTTGAACACGAAGCACTGAAGGATGCTGATCTCCTGGAGCACCAAAGGGTCCTAGAATCTGGAACACGCAGATGTGGCCCTGGAGTAGGTGCAGAAGGTCCTTAGCCTGGAACACACAAGCAAAGGTACCTTGGAGGGAACGTGGTCATGTCTGTTGCTGCCTCGAAGCTGGAGACTCAGGACTAGGTGTCTGTTATTGCCTCTTCCCTCACGGGCCAGAGGCTCAGAACGTTGGTGATCTGTTGCAGTCCTTTCCTTGACAGGACTCAGACTCAGAACGGAGGTTGATCTGCTATTGTCTCACCCTTGCAGGCAGGAGACTCAGAACGGTTTGTTTCTGTTGCTGTCTTCCTGGTAACAGGACTCAGACTCAGAACAGTGTATCTTTTAATGTCTTTTCCATTCCAGTACTCAGACTCAGAACTTGCTCTGTTAGTGTCTTTTCCCTGACAGACTCAGAACTTGTAGCTCAGAACTTGTCTCTCCCTTTCGGGACACAAACTCAGTACTGGTTTATTTGTTAGTGTCTCACCCTTGCAGGCCGGAGACTCAGATTAAGGAGTGTCTTTTGGGAAGATACCTTTATCCCTTTCCGATGAGGAGGAGATTGCAATCTGGCGCTTCTCCATTTCAATATTAAATTCAATTCAAGTTTAATTGTATAGCGCTTTTCACAATATAAATCGTTGCAAAGCAACTTTACAGCAAATTAGGTTTCAACAATATTTAGTAGTAGCTTATCAGTGGTGACTGTCAGTTAATGTACATATGGCAGAAATGTACAGAAAAATCAATTAAAGATGTAATCAAACAGATGATGAACACTATTAACAGCAATTATTATATGATGCAATCAAACTTATATCAAAATTTGGTAGTTCTGTATGTTGTTTCATGGTTGGCATCATCTGAGGTCCTCTGAGGGGTTAGCATCATCTCTTCTCAGGTGTTCTGGATCCAGACTGAAGCTTGTGTAAATCCTAGTTACCACGGGATGCCAATCCCATGGCAAAAACAGAGAAACAAATAGACATAATTAGCGTAGCTGCTGTTCCAACCAAGTAACATTTATTTGTTTAACCCAAGCTAAAGAATAATAATGTGCATTTGATCAGATATAACTGCAGTACAAGATTATGAGATGCATTATTTGAATGC